TTTGTCATATTTTTTCTGAACTAAGAAGCCTCAAATGCTTTTTCCTCATAGGAAAAGTGCTCTATACCTTAAATCAGATTAGGTGCCCTATACTGTGCCTTTTTGAGCTCTAAAATTAAATTTGCTATAGTGTTTTTTAAAGAACTATATTGATTTTTTTTGCTTATTATGGGCAGTTCTGGCTGCCAGATCATTTCTGGGCCGGCGCCTTCCTTACATATCTTTAGGCGCCAGGCAAAAACATTCCTCTTCTCCCAGGCCTTGGGCTAATTAAACCATCTATGGCCTTTTAAAACTGCAGGAGGGGGTATTATTTTGTTTGTTACTATGTTAAATATTTTTTGTGTTTTTATATTATAAACTGCCCTGTGATTCTCAGATGAAGGGCAGTATAGGAATTCAACAACAACAACAACAATTTAACGTGCTCATGATAGTGCTTAGGGGCCAAAATTACTTAGGCCCCAAATATCTGAGTGACTACCTCCTTTCCTCCCGGGTGTTAAGATCAGCGGGGGAGCCCCTCTTGGTAGTCCCACTGCCCCCAGAAATTTGAGGCAGGAGGTGAAACCAGGTGTTTTCTGTGGCAGCCTGTTGTGGAAGTCCCACCACAAGGAAGTGAATCTGTTACTTTCACCATACAGTTTTTGTTGAAAGCTGAAGGTGGACCTTTTCCTTTGACACCTGAGATGAGTATAGCCAATGGGGGGGTAGGAGGGCAGCTGCCCCCCTAGAGCAAGTAAAGCAATTAAAATACGAGGTTCTGCCCCCTCTAGCATGAAGCCTGCCCCCCTCCTGGCTACGCCCATGCCTCTGCTGCACTGGGCACAGAGCCAAGGGGGTGCCGCAGTGTGTCACAACTATGACAGTAGTGAATTGAGCAGAATGAAAGGCAACAGGTGGGGGGGGGTCAAATTTTGGCCTCGCACAGGGTGTCACTGAAATTTGAAAGACCAAAGTCTGCCCCTTTCAGGACCCACCCTATTCCTGTGACTGTAATCTCTTTTCACTGTTTTTAATTATGAATTTTAAAATGTTGCAATGGACCCTTGGACTTGCTGGTGAAGGGCAACTAATTAAGTGAATAAATAAATAAATAAATAATGCTTTCTTTTTGTGCGTGTGACTAGTCCGTAATGATTTAGCATATTGTGAACTAAGTCTCATTGACATTGAGCTGGATATATTCCTATGTAAGCATGTATAGGTCCAGGCAATATTTATTGACTTGGCAGGATTTATTGACACAGGATGACAGTCACCACCCAGCACCAATAAATAAAGCAAAGATGCAAAAACCAATGCTAGGCATATAAGGCTATTTTTTAAAACAACAACAACCTTATTTCTTCCTAGCCTAGCTCCAAAAATAGGATGAGAAAGTGCTGGATTTACATACACAATGCCACCCATATTCTTCAGTTTAAAATCTTTAAATAATTTAAAAGAAAATCTGTGAGAATCATACCAATAACAAATACAGTATATATAAATATCAAAAATTGCTATTTTTGATCCCACAGCACACTGAGTTATCCTTTTTTAGATTTCTACTATGGCTCCACAATCTCTTTCATGCATAGTCAGTTAACCTTAAATTCACATCAGCATGTATTTGGAGTTAGAATTTCTATTTACTTATTTTGCCATAATGTGCATAAGTTTGCACTTTATTACAATGAACTTCATCTGACATTCTGCTGAGCTGCCATCAGCCAGTTTAGAAAGACCTATTTAGAACTGTACACAGGCTGCTTTAAATTTCACCACTGCAAATCATTTGGTCTATCCTATAATCCTCATATTTAGTTATTACAACAAGCTTATCTGCCAGAGGATTGGACCCACGAAAGCTGTCCCCAAGAAATGAGGTCTTGGCATTTAGATTTCACTAAAACATCAACCCAACATGGAGTGGCAATGAAAAAGACAAACTTACACATGTTGGGAATTATTAGAAAATGGATTGAAAATAATCTGGCCAGTATCATAATGCATTTGTACAAATCTATGATGAACCTGCATTTATAATTATGTGTACTGTTTTCAGTGAGTAGCATAGATGTAGGAATAGTGGAGAGTTTTGACCAAACGTGATCCACCTGGAGTAGGAACCGGCAAGCCACTCCAGTATCCCTGCCAAGAAAACTCCATGGACAAAGACAACAGGCATATAAAAGTTATGACGCTGGAAGATGAACCCCTCAGGCCGGAAGGCGTCCAACATGCTACTGAGGACCAAACTGCGGGAGGCAGTGGAAGACAGGAGTGCTTGGTGTTCTCTGGTCCATGGGGTCACGAAGAGTCGGACACGACTAAACAACAACAACAACAAAAAGGAAAGGTACAGAAAATGACAACAACAAAAATAGGGCATTTGCAATTCATTCCCTTTGAGGAAAGGCAATAAATCAATCAATAAGTCTACAAACTATTAACAGGTCAGTATTCAACTTGCTTGTTCTGTTAGTGCAAGGATTCCTGCTTGTACAACAGAACTTCTCCCTCTCTTCCCTCTAGATTCCCACTAAATCTGTCCTGGGGGTTCCCAGAACAGAGCTGATTTCTTAGGTGACACCTTCAAGTGTTTAATGGCTTGTGAGGTAAGACTTCCCTGCACAGAACCCAAGAGGAAAAGAGATCACTTGAGTAACTCAGTATAGTAATTGCAACTGTGATCAATATCAAAAACAGAAATGCGTATCACCTGTCAGTTGTAATAAGGCTGTGCAAATGAACTGACTAATGTTCAGATACAAAAGAGAATATATTTCAAGTCACAAAATCAATTGCACAATTTGATAGGGGAAGATCTTTCCAGACTCTGGTAATCAGTTGTATTTTATGGATCATTCAACAGTAATTAAGCTGGACACAACACTGATAATCAAAATGTAACAAATTGTCCAAATTTCTTCCTTTCCCTTAAGCTCAGGTTTGCTGGTGAGGGGTGGCACTCACTTCCAGAAGAGGGCGATTGCCAGCTTGACCTCGTGTGTGTGGTGAGGATGTGCCTATTTTACCAGGGCATTCTGTTCTTATAGGATGTATTAGCAGGATGGGTGGTTCAGTTTAGTGTAATTATCTGTTCGTTCTCTTAAATAAGTTTGTGCCCATTTAACCCAAATGCATGCATAATCATGGTCTTGCTTCGGCTCCCACTTTTTTATCTGAAGGCACCTGGAAATGTATTTGTGCCAGTGCCTTCTGTTAAGAGTTTGTGTGTAATCCTTGACACCTCCCTTTCCATGGAGGCGCAGGTTACAGCAACAGCTAAGGTGACATTTTTCCATCTTCACCGCATTAAGCAGTTGGTCCCTTACCTTTCCCGCCCTGATCTGGCACAGTGATCCATGCAATGGTCACCTTCAGGCTTGACTACTGTCATTCACTCTACGCAGGGCTGCCCTTGAAACTGTCCCAGAAACTCCAGCGGGTGCAGAACGCTGCAGCGAGGTTCCTTACAGGGTCCCTGCCATGGGATCATATTCACCCAGTGCTTTACCAGTTGCACTGGCTCCCAGTGGAGTATAGGGTCAGGTTCAAGGTGCTGCTTTTGACCTTTAAAACCCTTTGTGGCTTAGGGCCCTCGTATTTACGGGACCGCCTCTCCTGGTATGCCCCACAGAGGACCTTAAGGTCCATGAATAACCATATTTTAGAGGTCCCGGGCCCTAAGGAAGTCAGACTATCCTCCACCAGGGCCAGGGCCTTTTCAGTGATGGCTCCGACCTGGTGGAATGCTCTGTCCCATGAGACTAGGGCCCTACAGGATTTAACCTCCTTTCACTGGGCCTGTAAGACAGAGCTATTCCACCTGGCCTTTAATTTGAATTAAGCCTGGTCTTTTATTTCCCTTCTCTTCCTTCCCCCTTCCCTTTTATGAAGATTACCTGCTCTGGGACCCCACAGCTAATTATCCCCTGACCTCCTCGCTGGCCCAAGTAGGACTAATTCAGCCAGCTAGCCCTGGTGACTATCTAATGTTTATTGGATGGATTTCCCCCAAATTGATTTTTGAACTTTGAATTTTATTGTTATTCATGCTTTTATACTGTATTTTATGCTGCTTCTATGTTGTATTACAATTAAGTGTTTTAAATTTGTTGTTAGCTTCCCTGAGCCCGGTTTTCTGAACTGGGAAGGGCGGGGTATAAATAAAATTATTATTATTATTATTATTATTATTATTATTATTATTATTATTAAGCACTCCACTATAAGTCACCACCTCATTCTATCCTACCTATCTTCTTGATTAAACTATTTAGGAGCTAGAGATGAGCAGAAAGAGAGGGTCTAATATTTTAGCAGCTGATGTTTTAAAACTGGTATTAAGTGCATTAGATTTTTTTAGTTAATCATGCAAGCCTTCAGAGGTACAAGTATAATAATCTGCACAACTGAAATAATGCAAAGCGGATGTTTTACCTCTAAGACAGCGGTGGGGAACCTCTAGTCCAACTTTGCCCACCAGAGGGTACAGTTTGGTCCACAAGGCCATTTTCCCCAAACCATGCCTACCCATCCATTAGCTGACATCACTAAGGTATGATATAAATATAGTAGCATGGCAGAATCTGCATTATTCCATTGAGCTGATCTTTCTCCAGTAGAGGAGGCTCCTTCTATATTTTTACCAGAACACTGTGCATGTTGCTTTCAGGTAAATGTGTCCAGCCTCTGTATTGCAAGATGCAGATCCTTCTGAACCATGTCTTGTCTCAGTAGAAGTGGATAGGGAGCCCTTTCAGTACCAAGTGTTAATAAGACATGGAAACTCCCAATAATAAGTACTCAGCGTCAAGTGGCAAGAGTACAGAAACATGACAGAATGGGCATTTTGGGTTGTTTTCATTTACACTTGGCACAGACCTGAAACTATAAAGGAAACAGATTGTCATTTATATCATTTCTCCTCCTTGCAGCTTATTTGAAACAGACAACTATACACAGGCATCCCAGAGCAAAACTACATTGACTACATAGACACTGCACACCGCTCTGCTGAATATTTTATTCGCCATCTGGCTAGCAGAATACAAAATTACAAACACATATTAAATAAATGGAGGCTTCCCATTTTAAATAAGGAACACTTCCACCACCACCCCACCCAATCCAATTGAAAAGGATTCCAAGGATGATAGTATAGAAGACTTCTTGGCAGTTGCAGTGGAGTCAGGAAACTGTTTTGTGTATTTTGTCCAGTGCCTGTGAAATAGCATACAAAGGAAGTCAATAAAAATTAACAACGCAATGGACCATTCATATCCAAATCAAACAGAAGCCATTAGGACTGCTGGTGCCATTAATTTCCATGGGGAGGGCGCATGAGGGCAATTCCCACAGCTGAACATCACAAAATTGCAAAAAGTTTTAGGGAGATGAACTTAGAGTTGACTAACATGAACTTTTAATGATTCAAACCTGGAACCCCTTCCAAAAAATGTGGAAGAAATTCAACAAAAGGGACTAAAAGCTCAATTCTGCAGTGTTTTTTCAAAAGCCATAAAATGAAGCAGATATATAGATAAAAATACAGATATGAACTTACCACTTCTTCCTGCTTTAGGGCACATCGTGATGCACTAGTGAGTTAACAAAGCCTAGTTGAAAATGAGTTTTGTGCCATAGTGATTTGACTTCATCCAGGGTCAAATCCTCACTGGGCCATGAACCTCACTGAGTGACCTTGAGCCAGTCACTGTCTCTCAACCTAACTTACTTCACAAGGTTGTTGTGAGAATAGAGTGAGGAGAGAAAAGGTAGGATATACAAGTGGTGAATAAATGAAATTTCATTTCTACCTTCAGTAAAGCATACTGAATTTAAGGCATAGATTTCCAGTTTTGGGAAGGACAAAGGGACAAATTTTGAGCAACAAGATATGGAGGCTGTTAATGAAACCAACAAGCCCCACACTCCAACTCCTTCCTCAACTTAAATCATGGCTTCTATAGTTTTTTTAAAAACAGTAATTGGCAGGCTCTACCTACTTGCTATGGGGGTCTACAGGGGGAGAGGGGATGCAAGGAGGGCAGTTGCCCCCCGATGAACCACAATTTTCAGATTCCCAGCTTTCATTAAAAAAAAAGAGCAAGTGTGCTTCCATTGTCAGTATTTTTGGGTACGATTCAGTAACATACCAGGAAATTCAGGTTGCACAATTATAATTCATTGGGAAGTCTTGAGTGACAACCCTGCTTCCCCCCTAAATCAGACATTTTGTGAAAAGTGGGGAAATGCACTGGAAAGTGAGGAATTATTTTATTTTATTTTAAATCCTATACTGCTTGCAGTTTATATGACATACTAAAATTATCTGTAAAAGTGGTTAAAAACGAAAAACATTTAAACATAATTAAAATTAACAGTAAGAATGATTAAAACACATCCAAGTCTACATGTCTAGATGGTCCACATGCTTGACATAGATAACACAGGCTTTGATGCCATATTACTTATCCTCCCTGCAAACAAATCAGAATGCTGAGTAGAAACCATCATCTAATCTCCTTGCTTGATAAACAGGTTGTCTTGAAGCATCCTAAATGCTTTTGAGGAATGAGATATGAGGAAAAGCATACAGGCACTATTCTTTTCGCCCCATCCCTCCCTCCCTCTCCTATTTTACACCCCCTTTGTCCCGTCCCCTGGAAAATTTCCTACAGATGCACATGCTGCTTTTATGTTGATTTTACCAGCATTTGGAGCATTTCAAGAGGTCTGCTGCTATGGGCACTTCAAACACATAAAAATGTGTTGCTTTCCTACCTAGATGAGAGAACCAAAGCTGTCATATACAACGCCTGCCCTTCCCCGCTCCCCTGACCCACAAAACCACTCAGAGGGCCACCATTTCATTCTTGAAACCGTTTTGCTTTCTTTTGTAATTTGCTGTGTAACGTGCAACTGTATCATACTTTTTAAGATCCTTTCAACACTTGGATCCCAAGAGCTGTTTGTAAGAGGTGCTACATAATGGAATAGTAAGGAGTCCTACATAATGAAACCTCTTGAGGGATATAAACCTGTTCCCCATCCCTTCTGATTTCTATTTTTCCAGCTACATATAAGGCATAAAAAACCCCACAGATTTATCAAGGTCAAATCTTCAGCTGTGCAACTGAGAACACTTCAGATATAGCTCTTCTAGTTTCTCTTAGTGACAATTCTTTCAGCTCAACAGAGGACATCTTCTTTATTTAACAATGGCAGATGGTAATTGTTAACATGAGTGTTTTATAGGCCTTCGAATATTGTGTATATATAATGTGCTTAGTCATCATCATTATACTAATTAACAATACAAGGAACTGATGAGGCCTCACTGTTCTCTCTCAACCTGGTACTTCATCACAGTTTCATTACTAAGGCCTGCTTCACACATGTTGCTTTTTTTAAAAGCATACACTTACATTTTGCTAAAGTGTGAATGCAACAGGCCCGAGTATGTAAATACATGTCACACAGGAAAACCTGTCAAAGCAAGCCACTTCTAAGTGTGCAGTAGGTATTTAACATAGATTTGCCCTCATGAACTGTATGAAATTGCCCTAAAATTGCAAGTTTAATTTGTGTTTTTATATAGATTGCTATCACAGACAGACACATCTGGCGTAACTGACCACAGGTCAGCGTTACTTTATTATTTCAGAATATTTCATAGAGCTAACTGTGGGAGAAGTATCATGAAGAGAAGGCCACTCAATGCATGACCAGCAAGATGTGCTGGATTGGTGCTGACAGTGATGCTGCATACCTGGACAGTGTGGGAACAGGGCAGGGCACTAGCAAGGTGGCAATTGGCCAAGGATATGCTCTGAAACATATCATAAATAAATATGCTCAAGGCCCAAAGACATCAGGCCTTTGTAGCTATAATGGTGTGCTTGTTAAACAGATGATCTTTTGACAGGATAAATTGAAACAGATTACGGTGTCAATTGCAGACTTCCATGTTTGAAAGACCTTCTATACAGAAGCCGCAGTTAAGGGTTACAATGGAAACTGATGGACAGCTCTCTAGAGAAATGCCCGCTATTGGCTCCATTTTCATTTAATTGTATGTAAATGATCTGGTCCATGAATTGTAGTAAAGAACATATTTGCCAGTGTTGATACTGTCGTCTTAGCTCTGTTTTACTGTAATGATGCTGACATGCTTCTACTATCTGCCATGCAAATTGGACTGAGGTGGTTTTTGAAGGGCTATGGGGCCATTTGTCAAACAGAACAACCACATGTAAATTACAGTAAGAGGAAAAGTAGTTGTGTATATGGAATGCATCCACCATGTAATTAATGGCCCCTGATGGACAAAGCAACTGAACAAGTCCAGCATTTTAATTATTTGGATGTCTGGTCTTCTGAAAAACTTGCATTGGATCCTCATTTAACAGGTTTTCAAAGAGCTTTTCAAGACCTAAAAGGAGGAATTTGGGATCCCCCAGCAGTAAGAATCTTCTTAGGCAAAATGGTTCCTTGTAGTGAGAAGAAATATATTTGGCTGAAACAAAACACTTTAAAATATCTAATCACAAGAACCTCCACAGCATATTTATGGACAAAAAACAGAGTTCAAATGGGGCTTTTGTGCTAATCAAAACATATCATATTAACATTCAATTGGTGGAGAAGAGGAGGTTGACTAAGAAACATTATTTGGAATGAGGAAAAACTGATAATAAGTGTAGTCAGTTATTTTTGTGTTAAAAAGGCAAAAAATGTAAAGCTCTGGAATTTCAGTAAAATCTGTAGAGACAAAAAAATAAACAACAACAAAAAAACCCTGTCAAGAATCTTATCCATAGCAACACCTGGGGTGATTCAGACCTCAAGATTTTAATCGAAAAATGACACATGCATTAGAGAATTATTATCAAGGTCTGATCCCTATTTCCCACCACAAGTTTTGGCGGCACTGACATGCCAAACAGTGCAAATGCAGCCCCCTTGAATGGCATTATAATGAGATTCTGTATGTGTGACTCATGCTGTTGAAGATCTATGCTATTATTTACTTTGATGTCCAATGTACACTGAACAAAGCAGAAAATTTACATCTGGATGAAAACATATTCAAAATGGCAATGATCAGCTTAAAGTAAAATATCTCTGTGTGACCAAATATTTAATATGTAGAGTTACTGAATTTGCACTAGTAGCACGGATATAAAGGAGAATGTTTGTAGAAGAAAATATGGTGGATTGTGCAAGGAATCCCTTGCATTAATCAATGGTCCAAGTTATTCCTAGATATAGTTCAGTTTTTTAATGTGGATAATGTTCACCCTACTTCTATAACAGGGATACTATTCCACATTATCACATTATGATTACCATTGGAATATTGTTTTTGTGCTTCAGCACACATACACACACTCACATATGGCTGGATCCAGACTAAAGAGGGAATCCAGACCCTGGCCACTGGTTTTGGGAGCTTTTGGAGGAGCAGGGTCACCGCTGTATCTGCAGTCCCACTGCATGCAGAGATCAAGGGTGGAAAGTGGAGGGGGGCAGGAAGATCACTATGCTGTCCTGACACAATAGCTGCAGGAATAGCTTGGGATCCAACAGATTCTGGGCAGCCTCAGACCCTCTCTGCCTCCACAAAACCCTGCTTATTAAAGTGACATTAAAGCAAATCTGATTTGATTTCTGCTTTGGCTTAGCCCTTAAAAAAGATATGGAACCAGAATGCATGGACTAGGGTATGGTTGGAACCGTGGTAAGGCAGATTGCTTCAAGGTCTAATGCCCTCAGACAAGGAAGATGGAAGGGGATATATATTCCATCAGACTCATGTGCTTGATGTTTTGGTACCATGCTCAATATATCTCATTTTCAATAGGCTGCATATCAGTAATTAAGGTGTGAATGAAGTTTCAGCAGAGAAGGGGCATGTAACAGATGGCATATCCTATCTGATTGTTGTAGTTCTACCAAGTTGCTGGTGTAAAAGCGGAGCCTAGAATCTGGTTGGTTGCAACAATTTGAATTTATGGTGACTTCTACAGCCACCATGAGTATGAGGTTTGTGTCACCTTCCAGTGCCAATCACTCATTTATCAGGTGTTGAAGAAGCGTTTGGATTTGATATCCCGTTTTATCACTACCTGAAGGAGTCTCAAAGCGGCTAACATTCTCCTTTCCCTTCCTCCCCCACAACAAACACTCTGTGAGGTGAGTGGGGCTGAGAGACTTCA